TTTTTTACATTATGTGTTTGTATGTGTGTGTATCCCTAAAGCATAAGCTTCTAACATTGAAGCTTACTATAATATTTAAAGTGCAATAACATAGATAACAATGAAATTTAACTTCTAAATCACTGTTACAGTTTATATTATGGAAAAAATTATTTATCATGGAAGTTGCTTAAAATTCTTAGTAACGCCTATCATAATGAGCTTAATAGTCCAACAACATATAAAAACCAGAAGCTGAGTTTTATCCTCCACACACTGGTTATGCTAGGTAAGTATGAAAATTTCATCCAAGATTCAAGTAACATCAACACTGACCTTTTAAAAAGTTTAAGATTTAGCAAAGACTTGCTTTTAATAATAAAATGGATAGTATTATCAAATTTTAAAGCCAAATATCAGCAATCTCTTTTTGACAAGATCTTATGGAAGAGTAAACTGGTAAATCCATAAAGGCATACAAGGCTACAGAAACACAGGGCTATTGACCTTATTCTATACCATACTGTGGTACAGCAAATAACGGCAGAATTTGTTTTCAAGACCAAAACCTAACACATTTTATCTCTAAAATTCAGTTTGCATGTTTTAAAAATGATGATCTTTTTATGCTTAAGTCTCTAGGTTTAAAGCAAATAAGATTCACTTAAGTATTACAAAAATTTTCAGGAAACCCAAAATATAAGTTCCTTTGAAACAAAAACTACTAAATTTTACAAAGCCACCTTGTCTAAATCAAGTGATATTAAAGGTGTAAGTCAGAGGAAGATAGTATGGTTTAAAAGAAACAAACAAACAAACAAAGCAAAGAAAAAGGAAAAAGCACGGATTTTAGAATCCAGAGACAGATCCAGATTCTAACCATGGTTCTAGTATCTACTTTCTGGAAACCCTAGCAATTTAAACTTTTTTGAGTTTAATAAGTAAATTTACTTATTTTCTTGATGTCTTCAGCTATAAAACAGTGTTAATACTACTACTTAGAGGAGATAAAAGTTTTGAGGACAAAATGAGATAACATTAGGAAAGAAGAGTCCAATAAAAGTCTATATTTTAGTCTATAGTCTAAAGCCTGTAGTTCATGTCTATATTTTGTACAATGAATATTACCTACAAAAATCAGGACAGTGATAAGTCTCTAAAATGCTGTGTTAAACAGTAATTTTACTGTAAATGTAAGTGATTCCTTTATCATTTTCATTCAGAAAATTAATCCTGATTTCAGAGACCTCCAAAAATAAACGTTTTTCTACAGTTTATATTAATTCTGTCAATGACTCCTTTGCATATAACCTCAGTTGCCTACATGTTATTGCTCATTTTAAAGTTCTTATATATTTCAATCCAGAAAGCCTATCTGCTTTATTCATTTCTCTATTTCTGGCCCCAGAAAAGCACTGGAAGCACTGTGCATGAATATACTCCTTCATTCATTCAGCAAATATTTACTGAACCCTTACATTGTGCCAGGTACTACATATGTATTGGGGTAAAACATGACAAATGAGAGGGCCCTGCTCAGGTAGCTTATAGTCCAATGAGGACACAAATATTTGTCAAATAAATACAGAAATAAAGTTTCTATTCTGATGATGCCACAAAGGTGTAGAGTATGGTGAATACACAGGGGCAACCTATGCTGGTTTTGGGAAGGAAGGCAAGGCTCCCTTGAGGAATGATATGTAAATTGAGACATGAAAACTGACTAACTGCCAGGTGGCCACATTTAGGTAGGTAAAAGTCGAACAGTCCAAGGAGTGAGATGGAATATGTAAAGACCACCAAGTCAGGAAGCAGCGTATGTAGGAACTGAAAGGCACTGTAAATGAAAAAGGCTGGCGATAAGGATGGAGAGCTGAATAGAAGAGATAAATTTTTAGTGTTAAACAGAGTAAGTGAGTAATAGTATTTGAATATTTAAGTCACATTAAGTCTTTTTCTCATGTAAATAAGGGAACTAAGTCTCTACTCCACAATATTAAAGGTCTGTAGTCAGAAGATCTCGATTTTGTCTTGCTCCCACCAGTTAACTAGTTGCATGACCTCGGGCAAGTTACTTAACCCACTTGAGCCTCTTCACTCTCTTCGTAAACATTATCTTACCGATTGAGACTACAATGATAATACATAGCATCTGTTCTTACAGATTTTACATCCTTAAAGAAAAAGACAGCTGTATAATACATGGAAGACATCTCAAGTCCTATGAGAAATAATGTCCCGAAGCTGACATAAGGCTCCTGCAAAGCCCAAAATGAGAAAAAGAAATGCAGACATTGGTGAGCTGAAAACTACTCCTAGAATACATTTGTATATATAACTCTGTGAACTCTTATCCAACCAACGTGCAGAGATCTAAAGTGACCACAATACTCCAACATGTGACTGAAAGATGATAAATACAATACAAGCATTAATCCACCAGCCCAGGAGAAGAAATACCAAAACTATAACTGGTCACAGAGATAAAAAGAAGTTAGTGGCAGAACTGAAGCAAGAAAACAAAATCTAAAATACACTGAACAAATGCATTATGTTAACTTATTTCCAAATTTTCCTCGTAGTTCAAAAGCTCTTTCCAAAATGACATAGCTACATGCCAAAGGTTAGAACTTATTTCATACCTCCTTCAACAAAAGGCAAGTACCTACACTGTCATCTAGAAAATACATTAATATTCTTGCTTTACCATCAATGATTCATGTTCAGTTTATGGTCTACTTACACCACCGCAGCCTTCTTAATCCAGCAAGATTAAGGATTATTAATCCTTCTTAATAACAAAGTCAGTTATCCTCACACAATGTTCCATTTGTTTAACTGATTCTTTCTTGTCTGTGTACTATTATTACTCAATGTACATTATTCCTGATTTTACTTCATTCTATAGCACCATAATTTTTCTATTTTAAAATCATATTAATTTCCAACATCTTAATTTCAATCATTCAGGAACATGCCTCCGTTCCGAATAAAATGTTTTTGCATTAAAAAGTGAAGCACATTGTTGATAATAATTGCAGAGTACATTCAAAATTCAGCACAGTCTAATGATCAACTTATCTATAAAACAGTAAGCTATGACTTATTACATGTTAAGAGCAATGATTTTTTACATGCTAACCTTTATGGATATAAAGTTATCACAAAGAAATTCTACCATCAATGAATTCTATTACAATTCTATTAAAAACTTACCCAATAATAGTCATGAGCTATAACTGGTGACAACAATTATAGAAGTTAAGACTGGCATAGGGCACTACTTTCTCCAAGATATAAAATATAAGCGTACTTTGAAAAATTCTTTAATGTAAAACAAGAATGACTTAAAAGTCACAGATGACGCTAAGAAAAATAAAAATATGCAAGAGCCTGATTTTGTTATTTGCAGACACACACATACACAAACAGCCTAGAGTCAAGAAATTGGGGGAAAAGTAAAATCTCAAACAATAGGATGTTACCTCTAAGAACTGCAAAATACCTTCTTTCCTAGTAATAAGCACATTAAACTTTCCTAAGGCTACATTATTTGGAAAAGGTGTGAAGTATTGTGAAAGAATTCCAATCCCACTATAATCAGTTTTACAAAATGAGAGTAAAAAGAGTCCTACGGTAGAAAAAGAATATTCTCTTAAGGAAGGGATACATTGTTTAACTGATGTTCACCCATCCCTTTATAGGCGAGAATGAACTGTGAGAATAGGGTATATTTTAATACACCCCTAATAAAAGGGGGAAAATTAAAAGTTGAAATTGACCCTTTTTTTTTTTTCCCAAAAGGTTCTTTCCTTTATTGAGGAATTTCACTCCAGTTCAAGAAACAACTTTTCATCTCACAATGGCTTCTTAGATGTACTACATAAAATACATTTACTTTGCAACTTCCTCCACTGTTTTCAAAAAACACAACCAACGTCCCTAATCTTTCTCTGTCGGGCAGAGCAGCTCTGGTTTAGAAGCTGGACTCGAACCAGACTAGATTGAGAAAGTCTGTCCCTACGTGTGTGACCTTGGGCACGTCAAATAATCCCTCGGTTTCCTCATCAGCATCCCAACATGAAAGCGCTCTGCAAGCAGTAAAGGAGTAAACATACCTTAGGTATGACACCTAAGAGGGTCAAGCCTTTCTGTTTAAGGCAAAATTACCTCCTTAGAGGGGCCACATCATTAAACTGGAACTGAACCCGTAGACCACAACATTTGTCTCTTCCTTCTTCCAGTGCTCCTCTTCCCTCAAAGGGCATAACCCTAGTCACCCCAAGAGCAGACTCCCAAGCACCCTTGCCTTCCTCCTCCCTTTCTCTTACAAAGCAGGGGGAAAACAACAGCCTCACCTCTCCGTCCGAAGCCACACCTTTAAAGAACCCCACCTCAGGCACATCCGCCCTCTCCCTGCTCCTGGGGCACCAAGGACCAACCTCGCCCTTCCCCTCCCGCCCCCACCCAAAGGAGACTTCCTGGAGGCGTTCGGGCCCTAACCGGCGGGCGGCATTTACAAACCCGCTTTACGCCACTCGCGTAGGGTAACCTCGCTTACGCCCGTAGGGCCCCGCTCCCAGCCCCGTCCGCTCAGCCTGCCAGAATCAAGCCCGAGTGCCTCAGCCATGGCCCCTACGTGACCCTAGACCTCTTTTGCTCAGTGGAGACCTACGGGGACTGGGACAGAACAGCTACATCTTACCAGCAACTGAGGCACTGACTTCACTTCCCACCTTTGCAGCCCTCTTCAACTCCCGGATCAATTCACTCCGGCGACGCCGGAAGAACCCGAGAGGAACCAGGCGTTGTCCGGAATCCTGCCCAGCCGGAGTCGCGCAGAGGCCTATGGGGACTCGTAGTCCCGCTCGCCGGTGTTGTCCGTAATTCCTGCACTCGGAAGACTACACTTACCGGCAGGCCGTGCGAGGGAGCCTGAGGCGATGGGTGGGGACACTCCTAACCAATAGCAGGAGAGTTCCCTGCCTTTGCGGGAGGAGGTGAGAAGAAAAGAGATGGTGCACGGAAAGGAGAGGAAGGGCGGGGCAAGCCCTCACCTGCACCAATCAGGGTGCGGGGTCGGCCCGACAGGCGCCTCACCCATTGAGGGGCGGGCTGGCCGAACCGAGGAAGGAAGGGGGTGAGGGGCCAGTGGTGGGGAACGTGGGGCTGCCGGGCGGAGTATACCGTGCGGGTGGAGAGGAAGCCTACGGGAAATCTCCCGGGTGAAGGAAGGGCTTGGTGTAGGGACTTGCACTGGGCGGAGGGACAGCTTCCCCAAGAGCGGCTAAGCCCCGGGCACACCGGGGCACCTGACCCACGGGTCGGGGAGGGATCGGCTGAGCCGGGGCTCCCAGCAGAGACGCCTGGGTGGGGCCAGAGGCAGCTCCAGGTGTGAGGCCACAGAGGAGGGGAGAGGAACCCCCAGGGGAGAGGAAGTGGCAGAGCAGCTGCAGAAGTGCGGGGAGCGGGAAGGTATCAAGGCAGCTGCTTTCCGCTGCCTCTGGCCCAGGCAGCTGCAGACACAGCAGGGGGAGGAGCAACAGCTGCCAAATTCGCCAACTGGAGGACGGGGAGGCGGAGCTTGGGTCCCAGTGGAAGCCGGAGGCGCAGTCTGGACTGTAGTTTCCCGGGAGAGACGAAAGCAGGAACGAGAGCCGAGCGGAGCACAGCCCTCCCGGCACCAGCTCCAGAATCCTGACAGGGGTTGCAGGTGTGTGGGAGGTAAGCGGGGGTCCTTCTTCGGGGCGTCTGCAATGCCCTAGAGGAAATGTTTTCCAATGGGAATTACATCAAGACACAGCTAAAAGAGTCAGCCTTGGGTTAGGAAACCGGTGCAAACCCTCCTGGGTGAAAGATTTACATTTTTGGACTTTAAGAGCAAAAAAGCAAAAGGAAGCTTGATTCTGGGTATAAAGGGCGTGGTTAGTGTTTTTGGTTTGAGTCGCACCAGTACAACTGTTCTGGGAGATCTCAAGATTGAGAAAAACCCTGCTAATTGAGGACGAGGTGGATGTTTTCTGGTGGATGTTATAGGTGCGTAGCCTCTAAAAAGCAAAAATTGTGCCATTAATATAGAATGACTTCCGAACTATTTCACTAGGAAAAGAACTTTGCGTTCTTCTTCAGTGTCTACCCTTTACGTTGGTTTATCAGATTGTCCTGCTACCGACCTGTTATCCAGGGTGGTTATTTTGCAGGTCCCTAGAATTGCAAGAGATCCGTTTTAAAGAAGCAAATGCAGGCAGGAATAGTCAGGATAGGATGGGCTCTGACTTAATCTATCAAAAGTGTAACTTTTGCCAGCAATAATGTAAAAATGAATTTTAATGAATGGATAGTTAGCTTTCTTTCCAGTGGCTCTGGAATATTGGAACAAAGACCTGGATTCAGCCTACGGTGTGAACATATGGTGTACTTCACTGCTGCTCCTTATTCTCTCATTTGTGTCCGATAATATGTGTACATTTTAAAAACAAGAGTGCACAGAAAGCTGTGTGGGAATCTTTTCTCTGGGTAGAGAGTATGCGCTTAAGGATTACCCTTAATATGTGTTATGATAGTGGGTTCAGATTTAAAACACATGGAGTGTCATAAAATAATAGTTTATTCTCGGTATTAAACCACATGTATATTCAAAGCAATGTAACTGTAATACCTATGGATGGAAATATGTTGTCATGCCAGGTAAAGATGAAAGTCTCACCTACCTTTGTGTAATTATGACAAAATTACAGCCTTTTATTTTTAGAGAAGTCGTAAGAAGCTATTTTCCTAGTTCATTGTCATTTTGTTACAGAGGTTCCCAGATTACATGGCTTTTAATCATAGTAGCATATTGCAGCAAATTTTGCTGTGAAATGCCGTCGTTGTGACAGTTGTATATTTCGGAGTCTGTCTCAATACTTTAGATTTTTTTTAATAACTAGGGTCAATAAAATGGAGTAATTGCCTTGTTTTCTCCTGTTTCTATGCTTTCCTGAGTTCTCAAGATTTTACATTTTATTTTTGTCATGCATTCCAAATTTCTTTTTGAAAAGAAATGGCTCAAATGAATTCTCTTCCCAGCTTAAAGTTCAGTCCTACTGAGTGCTACTACCGATAAGCCTAAGTGACTTATCAGTGTATATGCTCTTCCCTCCCACACTCTCACATACCATAGAAATATATAGACAGATAGATCTTAGAAAAACAGCTGCTTTTTTTTAATCATCCCTAAGCAGATCAGCTAAGTATCTAAAACGGGGGTGGGGGGGAACACCTTCTTTTTTGCTTAGAAGAAGGAAAAAGCAACAGTAGCTGCTAAACTTAACCACTGTAAGGATCAGGTTTTATCTTTGCTACAACACTGGAGAATCTGTTAATTCACATAGCTGATGTGGCCCTGTGAAAATGATTTTGGGAGTTAAAAAAAAAGTGAGTATTAGGGTGACACCTGGAAAAGACTGTGTTTGCCCTTGTTATTTGTGATTAAATGGATTGTCTTGAATCAGTCTTAGATTCTTTCTCAGACCCTACTAATTAATTTTGTAAAATTGAATACTTGTTGTCACTGGGTTATTTCCCCAATGTAATAATTATAATGCTAGCAATGAAATTTTTTCAGAGCCTTTATTAAAAGATCTGTTTGAAAGAATTTTATTGGGAAACAGTTAATAAGCAAGCAGATGGTTAGAAGATAAATATCTAAACAGTTGAAATTAAGATGTACTTTAAATCCCAGCTCTTTATAGGTCTTCTGCTCTGTGTGTGATAAAGACTAGAATCTCATTAGGAATGAATGAGTTTGTGGTATTAAAATACTGATTTTTTCATCTATTTATTTCCAAGCTTTGGGTTCTTTTTACTGTGTCTATAAAAGAGATGGGTTTCAATATCATTTGAAAAAAAGAAGACCATGTTTTTAAATGAGAGAATATCATTAGCAATATATGGCATTTATTTTTTACCTTGAACTTTCGATTCATTAGTTGATATTCACATTCAGTCTCAGGTAATCTGAAGATTTTTCTTGATCGATGTGGAAAATGTTCATTATATGGCAGTTTATAATTCTATGTAAAATGCTACCTATGTTATAAGCATATTACTTACTCTGCTCTTTATTTTCACTATTTGTGTATGGCTATCAGTGAATATATATGATGAGAAAGGAAAAGCAACAGAGTGCATAATGTCTCTCTTGAATGGGAATTGTTCTGGGGATGATTGTTGTTTAGCCAAAAACCTTGATTAATTTCAAATTACAATAGTCTTTGGTCTTTTCTTTAGAATTCTGATTCTAAGCCTATTGAGTAAAAATAAGTTAGTATGGATTTCTCTTTAACAGGAGGTTTTACTGATGCATGCAGCACAAAAGAGCAAGAATTAAAGGTTCAAGATCAAATAGTGTTGGTGAAGAAGGAGACAGGGGAATATATATAAAGAAAACTACTTGAGAAACACACCTTTAGCAAAAGAGAAAAAAATATTTTATATTTTTTGTTAAATTCTTATAATCTATGATTCCATGGCCTTTTCTTCCCCAGTCATTAATTTCTAGAGGCCTGTATTCATACTAGGATACATTACTTTTCTAAGTATAATTGAATATTTAAAATCTAAAGAATGCAGATCTGATTCCAGTTAAAATGGTAGTTTTTGCTGGAATAAATTTTAGATAATTAACCTTCCTTTTTTATGTTTTTATAATCCATGAGTATTCAAAATCTAATGAATACTAGTCTGACTCAGTCAATTGCCATTTTAACTGGAATCAAACTGGTATTCATTAGACTTTGAATATTCATGAATTATTAAAGCATACAAAACCCTGTGTGTATACATTCACTTCTAAGTGAAACCTTATTTGGATGAAATATCAAAAAGTAAAATCCTAAAATGGTGTTTCCCCCTTTAAAATAATAATGTTACTTGAACCAGACACTAAGATGAAGAAGAGCCCATTTATTTAATTAAGCAAATTTCAAAGGTTAAACACTGCTTTTGGGATCAGAATTAACATACACAAATAAGGGATAGTTTTTTTGTTGTTTTATTATTTTTTTTTAATCTTACAATATATGGACTAAATTTAAAATTTTAGTCCTTAAAATTTGGAAAGTGTTTTTTAAGTAATTACATTATTAACTCTTAGAGACCATATACTTCTTTTCTATCTCCTGTTAGTCTTGAGCACCTTATGTCATTTTCAGCATAAATAAATTGAGTAACCAATTATTGAATTAGAACCATTGGACATTGGACAATACTTCTATGATGCACACATTGAGACCATTTGCGCTTTGATAGAGTCAGTTGACCTCACAGAATGTTTGCTTATACATTAGTCCTTCTGAAAATGTCTTTATGCTAGTTTGCCTTTGCAAAAGTGTTGATTGAGCACAATTGGATTCACACTGTGTGGGCTGCAAAGACATTACAAATTTGAGTGTTAACATTTCTAAATTCGTCCCAGATATAGGATATATAGGCGAGGGTAAATGAGTCTCCAACTGGTGCCACTTAAGGTCTGAATTTCACAGACAGGAAAACCTAGGGCTCACCATCATTTAACCTCAAGGCCCTAGAGTTATACCTTTGTTGAAGCTTATCTGTAGAAAGCATGTTTCATTCTATAAAAACTGAATTTGCTCTTCTGTTTTTCTAACTATTTCTTCCAAAAAAAAAAAAAAGTAATCAGACTGATTTTGTTTGAGCATGTGTGTGGAGTTAGGCATTTGTTGTTTTCTTTCTTTCTTTTTTTTTTTTTTTTTTTTTTTTTTNTCATTTAACCTTCTAGAAACAAGTTAATCTGATTGGTGGTAGAATTGAGAATCCAATGTAATTTTTACTTGATTATTATAAGACCTATACAGCTAGTTAATTGTATATAGTTTTTTAATAGTAAAATTAATTATAGCAAATATTTAACTGCTTTCTGTTTACTTTTACCTTTGAGTTGATGGATATAAATTAGCTTAGAACTGATCATTAATCTTCCTTTTTCTCTTTTTTTTTTTTTTGGAGACAGGGTCTGACTCTGTAGCCCAGGCTGGAGTGTAGTGACCGGATCATAGTTCACTGTAACCTCGAACTCCTGGGCCCAAGCACTCCTCACACCTCAGACTCTCCAGTAGCTAGGACTATAGGCAAGCACCACCATGCTCAGCTAATTTCAATTCTTTATAGAGATGAGGGTCTCGCTGTGTTGCCTAGGTTGGTCTCAAACTTTTGACCTCAATCTTCTCACCTTGGTCTCCCCAAGAGTTGGGATTACAGGTGTGAACCACCATGCCCTGCTGATACTATTCTTAATGATTAGCACTGTGCTTTCTGTAAACTTAGTTCATACCATCTTTCTCACCAGATACTTAGTATCTTTAGAGCTAACACTGAGTTTCATTGACCTTTGTTTTCATTTTAATAATCTTTTTACATAGTTCATACTTGGTAAGTGGTAACAGTTTGGATAACTATTTGGCAATCTGTAATGAAACATCATTTTGCCAACAAATACAACCAGAAAAATGAATTTTTCTTAGACATCTGTTTTAGTACCAAACTCAGCCGTCTGCCAAAACAGTTGCTTACATTACAGCTAAATATAAATATTGCTATCTTTTGTTGGATTTCTAAATGAGTAGAACAAATTTTCTTATTAACTGCAAACTTACTTTGTGTGTGTGTGCATGGGCGCAAGCTTTAGACATGAATTTATTCATTAGATGCTATTTGGAGTTTGTGTAGTCCTTTTCTCTCCTTGCCTGTAGAACTCTGCTGATTTAAAGATGTACTTTTATGTAATACCTCCCCTCCCCTACACATGATTTCTATTACTTCTTTTCTTAACAAATAGAAAAAAATAAATAGATAAATTGTAATCTGAGGCCTTATCTTAAGTTTAATTGGCCTTAAGTGTTCTATTTTCAGTGAAACTGTTGCAGTGGGAGGCCTTCGTAAAGCTTATATTGTACCTGACTTATACAGCTATTTGTCATCTCTGAGCCATCATGGGGAAGGGATGGATTTTGAGACTTGACATTGATAGTGCTCAG